AAACCCTAATATTTCATTATTTGAATTTCAACTACTGCTAAACAAAAAAATAAATAATTTATAATACCTCTCACTTGTCCTAAACTAAGTAAGTGGGCATGTAAAAATTAAAAAAAATTAAAATAAAATAGAAAGTAACGAATTAATATCAAATATAAGGCTACAATTTGCATAATAAACAAAATGACATTAAAAAAAAAAGGATATGCAAGCAAATGCATGGAATCAATCGAGATATATATGGTCAAATGAAGATACCCCCAAAATTTTTATAGGTTTCTTCGTTGATTTTCAAGGGAGCCGTCTGTTTTGAGCATTGGCAAGATTTTTGTGTCTAAAATCTTGGGGTTTCCCTAGTGTAGGTCATGTTTGCATGAGTTACACCCCGTTTTTAGGCTCCTTTCAATGTATAAAAAAAGGAGGGGGCAGAGAAGGGTGGGGGAAGGAGGAAATGAAAATAATCCTCAAAAACCATAATGCTAGGCTCTTCTTCTTCCAAATTTACTTTTCCAAGTTATTAGTACCACAAAGGACTAATCTCCCAAATGTAAGGCCAGGGTATTAGCCTGATAGATAATAAGGGAAGAATCCCATCCACCACTATCTCTATATAGTCCTCATCCCACTTCAATCCTTGACAAAGTGCAAGAGTTTAAGCTATAATTGCACTTTGCCAGACTACAAACATAGAGCAAGAAAAATATACTCCTAAAAAAGCCTCGCAGGCACTCCTCCTCGGCTTCCACAGAGCCTCCTAGCAATTTTAAGCTTGGCATGAAATATAGTAGTAATTTTGTCTTAGCATGAAAGAAACTCGCACGAGTCCCCATCAGCAATCATGGACTGAACATAACAACACCCATAGTAACCATCATATTGTCCAAGATTTACTATAGCTCCCTCAATGAAAGAGAGATCTAATATTTTGGGGTCTAAACACTATGAAGCATAGGCGCAGTTAACACCAAATATGGACACCATAATATAGTCATTTAAGCATAGCTATTTTTCGAAGAATATGTTTGGTTAAAAGAGAAAGGAAGCAAGCACAAATTTTTTGATAAAATTACTTGAAATTTGGGCACATACAGCAAACTATTTCAATAACATCATGAAAACTAGGCATATAATTGAATATAGATTAAAAAAAAGGCATACTGGTGCACAATACTTTCACAACTACAATGTTTGGGGAAAATCCAATGTCCATAACCTTACCTCCAGAAGTAGAGAGACTAGTTTGAACCCTTGACTCCCAAGTCAAATGGAGCAAAGTTACCAATGTGCCAAGGTCCACCCTCTTATTGAATATAGGTAGAAGCCCAAAAAGGTTTAAAGCTAGGACAAACCAAGAAACATGTCCCAAAAGAGGAAAGAAAGAAAGAAAAAATGAAAGAGAAAATAAGAAGTTTTCTATTGAAACCCTTTTTCTTGATTGGTGATAACTGATAACACATAGAGATGATGATGGTGATGAGTTTGGAAGAGCATTCAAAAAAGCTAGAGATTACACCAAATCTTGAGATATCATCTCCAAGATAAAAGATATGTTCGAAGCTATTCCAATAAATGGCCTGCCGTGTCCAACACTGTCTGTGTCTTAAAAATTAATGGGCATGCCAATGACCAATTTAAATAAGTGTCAATACTTACGGATAGTCACCATTCATCTCCTTCACAAGGAAAGAGAAAAAGGAAGGAGGGGGGAGGGGTGGAGATTTCAATCACTGGAATCTCCGAGTCTAGTTAGATTTGTTTGAAGATTCTCATCCGTCTGCCCAGAGAAGAGAGAGAGAGAGAGAGAGAGAGTTCAAAAAAGTCATACAAATACTAAGCTAATCCTATACTAGAAAATTAGCCAGTGGTCAAAGGTGCTAAGCTGTTTGGGCATCTCTAGACAATAGACTCCCACACCACTGCACAATCAAAGTTTTAATCTAGATATAGATTTTGATCCAGAAAACGATCGAAATAGGCACCTTTTAGGCTTGCACCAATTTTTGGACATTCTCGGTTGACAGGCTTGCGTTGCATAGCAACAACAGCCTGAATGCCAGGAGTTTACTTCTTCCCTTTGAACAAATCGTATCCCCCAAAATGAAAGAAGCAGCAAATTATGTATTTGGAAGGCAGCTTTCTATGAAAAAGACTGGCTATATACAGACCTTATCCTATTGCATCTCAACCTCCCTCCCCAAAATTACATTTTCTCTTTGCCCAAATGGCAATAGCTCTTCGATTTCAGAACTGAGAGCTTGCAAAGACACAAGGTAGACAAACCAAGTCTCCACCAAATCCCAAGTAGCCAATAAATGCTTTCAGACAAAAATATTATAAGGTACGGAAAACATCTTGTCACACCTTAACTGAGTCGATCGTGTGATATATACTAGCCAAGTAGACAGCTAAAACGCAAAAACATATTACATCTCCGTGACCCTTAATGTTGCAATTCATTCAATCTCCTAGCAGAAAGCAACTAAACCCAGGCAAATTTATGGCTATAACAGACAACTTTGCATGATTTCAACATTAGTTGAAAAAAAAAAAAAAGACTTCATAAATGCATCACATTCAAAAATAGACATATAAATTACCACCTAACCGAAGTTCAAGGATCAAAAGTGCATAATTTCAGTCAGCTTAGAAACATTTGGAACATTGCAAAAACAAAGAGAACCGTGTGTAACAGTTGGAAACAAACTAAAATCTCTTTATTTATGTAGATAACCTTAACAAATGATTATTGAGCATGTTCATTGTCTAAACATCCATCTATACTAAATGACTCCAACTGGGAGAACGAAAGCAAAGGGTAATGTGATGCATATGTCATTTCAAATGACAAAGAATTCATCTTTATTTATTAACTCAACAAATTTCCCAAACTTGGGCCTGTTTGGATATGTTCTCCAAAAACATTATTCCAAAACATTTTTTCAATAAAAGTTTTAGAAAAATTGTGTTTTAATTTTTTTGTATCCCAAAACCTGTTTAGTATATGATTTTGAAAACAATTTAAAAGACAAAAAATAGTAAAACATGTTTGATGCAAGGATCAAAATGTCGTGTCGACACGTCCGAAACGTTTCGGAATTTCAACACTCCGAAATAAAACAGTAGTTGAATCACAAAATTCCAGTGTTTCGGTCAAAACGGTACTGTTTCGGACCGTTTCGGTTGAAACGGCACTGTTTCGGACTGTTTCAACGAAACATTGATATATTCAGTTCACTATGAATAATTACATTTAATACCCCACTATAATTACATTTAATACCCACTGTAATTACATTTAATACCCACTATAATTATATTTAATATCCCACTATAATTACATTTAATTCTCACTGCTTTTCTGCCTTTTATAATTTTGTTATAAGAATAAATAATTACACTTAATACCCTACTGTAATTATATTTAATACACATTATAATTATATTTAATACCTATTGTAATTATATTTAATACCTCACTGCTGTGCAAGTCTTTTGTTTTTTTTTTTTTTGGTTATAAGTATTAACAATTACATTTAATACTCACTGCAATTACATTTAATTTTTAAGTATACATAAGTACCATTAATTTAATTTAATACCCTTCATTATTAGTATTATAATAAAATAGTATTATTAATTGGATAATATTATCGTAATAATATGAGTTGGAGTAACTATTGTCATCATATTCATGTCACATATGAAGTTTCTCTAAGTAGCTACCTAAAGCGTAAACCGATGTATGAGCCTGCTCCAACTCCACTGGGAGATGGATGTAGCCATGTAAGTATATACTCATTAGCATTTCATGTGTATTATAAGACCTTAATAATATGTAAAAATGTGTTTATTTCATAAAAATTAAGTGTTTAAAACTAATTTAAGTGATTTTCGCCTCATGTCAAGCCTTTTTTTTCCTCCAATTTAAATTTACTCTTGTATAAATAGATGTTAACCCAATAAATATGGTGAATTAATCAATTATTTAGCTTATTTTTATAAATTAATAGATTGTATTTGTATTTCTATGCGTTTCCATATTTTTTCTGCGTTTCTATTCGTTTCCGAAGCATTTCCATTTTTGAGCTGATCGAAACGGTACTTCAAAACGAAATTTCGATCCTTGGTTTGATGTAATGCAAAAACTAATAAAAATATGGAACATAATTTGAATTGACTCTTTGGCAAAAATCTTCTTAGTGGGGTGTGTTACTACAGTGTCCTTGTCAACCAATATCTTACAACATATGGACGAACAAAATTTACTCACAAAACCCTCAAGATCTAAGGACAAAGCCAACCTCAAGAAAATATGCAAAATCTATCGATAAGAAAACACAAAGCCCATGGAAATAACATTATTCGGGAGCTTGTTAGAAGCCAATCAAACCTCTGCTCATCAACTTGTGCCACTTGAAGGGCTGGAGCTTAGAACGAGGCTAAGGGGTTGAAGGAATAGATCAGACTTGCTTGGAAGAGGAGTGAAAGACATGGACACGAGAAAAACAATTTCTTTTAAATGATACCTTTACGTGCACAGTAAATTGCATCCATGTTTTAAAATTTTTTTCGAAACTATCTCAAAATCACTGTCTCAAAACTGGCAAATACATGTTAATAATGTTCTTTGGAATTCTAACTTTTTGTTCTTAGTTTTTGAAAAACTGATGCAAAGTTCTGTTGTCCAAAAAACCTCTATTGTGTTTTTCATATCCAAAAACAAATTTTTTTTTTTTTATAGATGCAAACCAAACAGACCCTTCAGGACTCAAAAATATTCACTATTCCAAAACATGGGAATGTCACTTTCAACCACTGATTTGTTTTGATATCCACCAAAAACGATATTCCACAATTCTAAAACATGGGAATGTCACTTTCAGTCACTGATTCATTCCGGTTTCCACCAAAATGAAAAGTTTTGGTCGTTTCACCCAAAATAAAACGAAATTTTGATTCTTGCCTATGTTCAAAGAAAAATATCTTTAAAAAAAAGCACCTCACCTGCATATAATGTATGTGAAAACCAAACAGAACACCAAAGATTTGAAAGGGTCATCCCAGTATGCTAAAGAAAGAAGCTGACGCCCAAGTTCTGTCATAGGATAGAGTAACTCCTGCATGTACATGCAAAATTTGGAAACTATAACAAGATGAAAATTAATGAAATATCCAACAGAAGTTTGCAAAGAAGGATAGAAAGTCAAGCACAAGATTCATGTGGCTATCCCAAATAGTTGAGCTTGAAAAATTGGTTTGCCTTTGTGTTTGAGCAAGTTGTTTACCAGATTTCATTAGTATCACTTTTAGTGCCATAGACCAACCAGTTGGGATTGGCTGTTAGCTGACCTGTTCCAATCCTTCCAAATCCTATTTCTACTATGAACTTAAAACAAACCAAAATCTTTAGTTATTAACAAAACCTTCATTACTGCCAAATTGGTGTCAATGCCATCAACTTTGACCCCATCAACTGTAGCTTGCGCAAGCGCCACTTTTTTATAGCTGCTTCTAGAATCCTTGACTGCTTTTTCCAATGAAGATATCTCTCCCACGCTGATCTCACCCACAAGAAGCCCTACCTCATGAGGAACATTATAACTGGTTCCAAAGACAAAACCGAAGTTAGAAGCCATGGCCGAAGCTGATATTGAATACATTGTGCTTCCTTCTTTAGAACTATTTGTCCGCTCCAATTCCCTCAAGGTTGAGATGTTTGCAAGTGTTTCTAATATCAGGTCTCCGCCCGGAAGTTGATCACAAACACTGAACATAAGAAGAGCCTCATAGCAAAGAGGGCTTGTAGAACTTATGTCTTTGAGGGCTTGTAATCGCAGAACTCCAAAGATAGCTTTCAAAAGTGCTTCATTCCGTTCAACACCAGAAATCTGAAACTTGCGTATATACCTATGGACATATAGAATTTCTCGAATAATTGCTAGCCAATATTCACGACGAGTATGACCTTTCAGTTCAGGGAACTCCATCACAACCGGTTCAGATCTACATTAGAAACCCTAACAGATTTAAAAGATATCCAGAAATATATACACAAGGCTCAGACGTTAAAAACATGGAAAAACATGTATTACTTTAACATTAAACATAGTAAATTAATTATGGCCAAAACAACAGGTAGATATGCATCATGCCTTACAAGGATGTAGATTTATACGAGACCGCCTTGTCGAAAAGTCTAGTTCCCCATGGTCCTGTTAACTCAGGTCTAACAGCCTGCTTTAAATCATCAGACAAGTCATATATTTTTGCCTTATCATATGAGACAACACGGAGAGCTTCAAAGTAGAGAGCATGATCTGTTAGTGTTAATCGACCTGCAATCACAAATACATGCCAGAATGTAAGTTGGAAAATGTACTGCATGTGGCACAGTAGAATTTACCAAGTATTCCCATTTGATTTCAGAATGTAATTTAAAAGATTACACACTGAAGTTTTAGCAACTCACCAGGCCATGTAGAAATCCCCACATGTTCAAGAACTGGCTGGGTGGTGACTGTCCCATCCACTTCCAGGATTTTTTCGCCTCTGGCCGATCGTAAGACAGAAAGGAGAGATGACTCGGATTGGGTCTTAAATTTTCTTATTGCCCTGCAGAGAAGAACAATTCAAATTTCAGAAACTGGACTTGAGTCGCTCACCAGAGATATAGTTTGCAGTGTCAATCAGAGTATGTTATGTCATATAACTAGCGATGGGCCTGTGCCTAAAGGCCCTGTGAAACACAAAATATCGCCAAAAAGCCTCAACAGTCAAGGTTCAAAGAATCGGCTAATACCAATATGAGTCAGCCAAGTAGTATCCGACTCAAACACCTTCCGGTTCCGCGATGCTGCTTATGACCTGAATCTCTCGTCATGTTCAACATTTTCTTTTAGGCCGTGACTGATATGTCTCTGAACTTTTTGATACGATGGCCGATACCGCGACCTCAAACCATGTTAACAGTGTCGTATAACAATTTCAACACGACTAACACATCATATTTTGAACCCTATTTAATCACAATAAATTCATCCAGAATATGACCCAAAACCAAATAAACTATTCAACATAAAATTACCAAATGAAAAGTAAAATTAACTCAAAACCATTCCAGCTAGTACATGAAAATAGTTTAGAGAAATACATTCCATGATCCTATCCTCGTAGCACAACACACTCTCTCTCTCTGTATGTGACTGTGTGCGTGGGTGTGTTGTAAACATGGGAATCAAGTTTGTTGGGACTTCTACAAAATTTTTATCAAACACCATTCTCTATCCATCGAACAATCATGAATAACCCAAATTTTGTTGTGTGAGCATTGTTGAGTGTGTTCGTGTGTGTGGCCCACATTATATATCAACTGAGCACAATACTTTTGAGTGGGAACTCAGAATCTTGTCCAATCAATTCAAGTTTGGGTAATTTGTTTCGTGAAAAAAAAAAAATTCCTTACATTATATGCAACTCTTTTGTTGCCATGCAAGGTGAGTAAATTAAATTTCTCCGAACATAAATTAGTGAACAACAGTTAAAAGAGGTTATCAACTGACAAGTTTAGTTTTCAAATCAAACTTTAATAGACAAATAGCAAACTACAAACTTTCTAATTTAGCAACAAAACCTGAGCAAGTTATTATAGAAAGAGGGAAACAGTGCTCAAGAGGGCCATAAAATCAACAAAAGAACAAAATAATAATTATATTCCCTAAACCCACAACAAAAACCTATAAAACCCTTAACAATCACCCTAACTCAAATACTATTAGTCTCATGATTTTTGTTAAGATTAAGGATGAACTTAACACAATATGAGAAAGACAAAGAGAGGTATTGGCTTAACCTACCTCTCACTATTGGTCTTGTATTTATAGTCATTGAATAAAATGAAAATACAAGTATACCTTTTGTGTGGTATACATATTACAATAAACATAAATCCTAACTTTCCTAATCGTATTATAGTAACTTTCTCAACACTCCCCCTTAAGCTGGACTATAGATATCATATAATCCAAGCTTGGAACAAATATCTATAAGACGAGTATGATTCAATGCTTTGGTGAACATGTCTGCAAGTTGATCCTCAGATTTCAAAATTGGAGTTGCAATGTCTCCACTTAGTATCTTGTCTCGAATAAAATAGCAGTCAACTTCAATATATTTGGTTTTCTCATGGAACACTAGATTGGCAGCAATATGAATGGCTGCCTGATTATCACAGAACAATCGTAGCGGTAGCTGACCTGAAAAACCAATCTCCCGAATAAAGTGTAGTAACCATGTCAACTCACTAGTCGTATCAGTGCTCTGTACTCAGCCTCGGCACTAGATCATGCTACCACTGTTTGTTTTTTACTTTTCTATGAAACAACATTACCTCCTAAGAAGGTGCAATAACCAGTAGTTGACCGTCGGTTAGATGGAGAACCAGCCCAATCAGCATCCAAAAATCCTTTCACTCGAAGATGTCCATTAGCTCGATATAACAATCCAAAACCAGGAGCACTTTTGAGATATCGAAGAATACGAATGACTTCATCCCAATGTGGTACTCTAGAACATCCCATAAATTGACTCGCCGTACTAACTGCATATGCAATATCTGGTCGGGTAATAGTGAGATAATTAAGCTTACCAACCAACCTGCGATACCGACCTGGGTTATCAAATAGAGCACCATCATCCATCAACAACTTCTTATTTGATTTCATAGGACTATCAACTGGTCTACTACCTAATAAATCTGCCTCTTCTAGCATGTCAAGTACATATTTCCTCTGAGATAGACAGATACCCTACTTAGATCTTACAACTTCAATACCAAGAAGTACCTGAGTTTTCATAAATCCTTCGTATGAAATTTGTCTTGCAGAAATACTTTTAACTTAGTAATGCCCTCAAAATTATTACCAATGATTACAATATCATCAACATAAACCACCAATAAAGTATACCCTGCATCTGTCTACCTGTGAAAAACATAATGATTTGTCTAACATCGAAGAAGGCCAAACTCTAATACTACATCAGAGAATTTGCCAAACCACGCTCTTGGTGACTGCTTCAAACCATACCGAGATTTCTTCAGTCTGCACACACTCCTACAATACTCCCCCTGAGCAGTAAACCCAGGTAGCTGCTCCATGTAGACTTTCTGAGACAAGTCACCATGCAAGAATGCATTTTTAACATCTAACTGAAATAGAAGTCAATCAAGATTAGCAGCCAAAAAAATTAAAACACGCACAGAAGTGATCTTGGCAACGGGAGAAAATGTCTCTACATGATCAACCCCATATGTTTGAGTGAAACCCTTAACCACAAGTCGAGCTTTGAGACGCTCAACAAAACCATCTAGATTAAACTTACAATATATACCCATCGACAACCAACCGTTCGTTTCCCTGGTGGTAAGGGAACAAAATCTCAAGTGCCATTTTGATGTAAGGCATCTATTTCAACTTCCATAACTTTCCTCCAACCCGGATCAAACAAGGCACCCTCTAGAGTCTTAGGAATAGAGACAGTAGAAAGTTGTGTGGTAAAGCAAGGAAAAACCAGGTGATAAGGTATCATAGGAAACAAAATTACCAATGGGATGTTTAGTAACACATGATCGAGTACCTTTCCGAAGAACAATTGGTAAAGAATCAGAATTACCTGAGCTATTTGGATCAGAAGACGGCAAAGAGGGTGGCAAGGGCACTTCAGCTGATGACTGCGTACAACGGGAATATACACAGAGTGGAGCAGAGGATGGATACACAATAGATAGTGGAATAGGTGACGGTAAAAGAAGAGGTGTCTCAGGAGACTACCCAAAATCAAGATCCAAAGGCTGCTCAGGTGCCGAGAAATACGAAATCTCCTCGTTAAAGGTGACATCAGCACCAATGAAGTATCGACGAAGAGTAGGACATCGATACCCCTTTTGTGTACGGGAGTATCCAAGAAAGACATACTTGGTAGCACGAGGAGCAAGCATATCAAACCCAGACCCCAAGTTATGAACATAATAGACACACCCAAACACTTTAGGAGGTAAGGAGAATGAAGAGGTATGAGGTACAAGAACGGAGTATGGAATTTGCCCATTTAATACGGACAACGGCATACAATTAATGAGGTGACTGGCTGTAAGAACAACATCACTCCAAAAAGCACGTGGTACATGCATTTGAAATAAAAGTGCATGGGTAACTTCCAATAGATGTCGATTCTAACGCTCAGCAATCCCATTCTGCTGAGAAGTATAGGCACAAGAGGTTTGATAAATAATGTCAGCCTTACGCAAATAAGAGGATAAAGGATCAAATTCATATTCTCTAGCATTATCAGAACGAAGAATACGAATATTACAACCATATTGTGTTTTATTTCTTGATGAAAAGTCTCAAATATAGAACATAACTCAGAACGGGCTTTCATAAGAAATAATCAAATCACTCGAAAATAATCATCCACAAATGACACAAAATAAGAAAATTTATTAGATGAAATATTCTTTATTGGGCCCCATACATCAGAATGAATTAAAACAAATGGACTCGAGACACGATTATTGACTCTAGACTTAAAAGAAACACGGTGACGCTTACTAAGTTGACAGGTTTCACATAACACAAACGACACATGACTCAAACTAGGAACTTGGCGCTTTAAATTCTGGAGCGAAGGATGACCAAGGCGACAGTGCCACTAAAAGGGAGATGATGTCTGAAACGCTCGGGAGATGCATCAAAATCAAAATAGTAGAGACCACCAGCTTCATGCCCCGTACCAATCTTCCTCTTCGTCTGGAGCTCTTGAAACACACAGTAGGAAGGAAAAAAGGTTACCGAACAGTTAAGAGAACGAGTAATCTTGCTAATAGAAAGTAAATTAAAGGAAAACTGGAGAACAAATAAGACTGATGACAACGACATATCAGTACTCAATTGAGTAGTCCCTACGCCTGAAACTTTAGAGGATGTGCCATTAGCAAGAGTAACAGTATGGTGAGAATTGACAGATTGATAAGTAGAAAATACACTAGACGAACCGGTCATTTGATCAGAAACGTCAGAGTCTATGATGCAGGGACTACGAGTGGAGGACAATAAACAAGTAGGAGTTGTACCTGACTGGACAAACGTGGCAGTAGAGGAGGATGGAACAACCTGCTATTGGGACATAAACTGAGCATACTGCTCCCGTGTAAGTGTAACCATCCCAGAGTCAAGTTGAGTTGGATGTGAAGTATCATCCTGACAAGATGCCTGATTAACAACACCTGAAGGCTTACCATGTAAATCCCAACAATAATCAACGGTGTGTCCTCCACGACCACAATGAGTGCACAAGCGAGAACCAGACCTACCACCACGGCCTCCACGTCCCCCCGACCACCTCGAGAACTATCATTATGGTTGATATGAGCAACAAGTGCGGAGCGGTCATGAGATAAACTACGGTCAACACCAGAAGTCCCGGTAGACAATGTAACACGCTATAAACGAGAGAAAACCTCAACCAAAGATGGGAGACGAACTGCCCAGAATCTGAGAACGGACAGCCTAATACTCAGGTCTCAAACCCATCAAAAAACGAACAACATTCATATATTCATGTTGTTTCTGCCACACTGCGCATCAGTGGTAAACAGATGGTAAAGTTTCAGTTCCTCACAAACTCCCATGACATGGGAATAATAATCTGCAATACTCAGATTGCCTTGGTCTAAACGAAAATATTGTTGACAAACCTCATATGCACGAGTAAAGTTGCCAGTGCCTGAATATATAATGGCCAAGTGGTCCCAAATTTCTTTGGCCGTGTCTAGATAAAGTAATGTCGAGCTAATGTTAGCCTCAATACTATTCAATAATAAAGAAATAATTTGAGCATCTACTTGTTTCCACTCATCATAACCAGTCGTACCCTCTTTGGGTTTAGGATCTACCAAATATTTCTTGAGACCTTTCCCTTTAAAAATACCTGAACTGATCGTGACCATAAAACATAATTTGTCCCATTAAGCTTGACCAAGACTAACGTCATAGGACCATTAAAAAGAGCAGAAGAAGATAAACCAGGGGGGACAGCAGGGGAAGTAACAATAGATATGTCATCGTTCTTAGATTCCATGGCCATAGGATGGCTGAACAATGTAGAACAGTGCGAAAAGGGAGACTGTTCAATGATGAGCAGTACTGGAAAGCAATAATCTGAAGTTGAACAGAACAAGGGAGCTTGCTGGATCACTAAACCGGTCAAGAAAGTGTCGTTGGACAGCTGAACCGGCCAAGAAAGTGTCACTGGACAGTTGAACTGGCCAATAAAGACACACTGGACCACTGAACCGGGTAGTAAAAGCTCACCAACCTACTGAACCGGGAACAAAACTCTCACTGGACCACTGAACAGGAAGAAAAACTGAAAGAACCGGTCTGAATTGTGACTGAACCGGTGTTGAACTAGTCTAGGTCTGAAACTAGGTCTGTGTCTGGATAGGGTCTGGATCTGATTTAAAAACCGTGGACTTGGATTTGGGCTTGTTACCGAACTGACCCGTAAGGGTTGTCTTCTTCACAAAACTAGGGTTTCAACAAAACCCTAGTCACACTAGATGCCACTGTAACCACCACAGCGACTACACTACCACACCAATCTACAACGTCTCACCAGATGACGCCTCAGCAACTCACACCCCAAACGACGATACTACCACAGTGAAAACAAAAGTGGACATCCACAACGATACCATATCACCACCACCATGAACAACACCAAGAGCAACTCAGCAAAGAACCATGAACAACTCGATTTCACGCCTAAGCTACACTAGTGAGCACACCCAGTCAACACCAAGCGAGCCAAGCGAAACCAGGAAAAGAGAAGAAAGAGAAAAGAAAAAAAAAGAGAAGAAAGAGAAAAGAAGAAAAAAAAATAAAAGGTGATTAAGAATATTAATAGAAGTCTTACTCTGATACCATGTTAAGATTAAGGATGAACTTAACACAATAGGAGAAAGACAAAGAGAGGTATTGGCTTAACCTACCTCTCACTATTGGACTTGTATTTATAGTCACTGAATAAAATGAAAATACAAGTATACCCTTTGTGTGGTATATATATTACAATAAACATAAATCCTAACTTTTCTAATCGTATTATAGTAACTTTCTCAACAATTTTAAATGCAACACAAAGCATAATGACTACATTTGCAAGAGCTCATGAGTGAGAGGGTTTTACTCTCTATACTCCAGAGCATTATTTGGAGTTCCAAACAACTCCAGCGGGCCAAAATCTAGAGTGACGATAAAATAATCAAAAAAAATTAAAATTCAACCAAACAAAATCGAACTAAAGTCGAAGTTGTTGTGTGTGCTATGTGTGTGGGGGGGGGCATGGGTATGGGTGTGGGTGGTGTTTGTGCAAAAAGTGCATATGATGGGGGGACGAAATGGGTGGGGCATCTGGGTTTCTCTGTGTGTGTTGCACAAAGCAGAGGGATATGTGTGGTGCCTTTGTATGCAAAGTGCACATGCTGGAGGAAAGGTTAAGGGAGGGGAGAAAATGGGAGGAAGGGGATGGATGATGTGGGACAGTGAGGGATTCGGTGGTGGTTGGAGATGGTGAAGGACAAAAGGGGGAAAGAGATGGTGGAGAAGAGCAAGAGGGGGAGAGAGAGACCAACAACAGAGTGTTAGGCTGTGCTGGGCTGGTGGTGAGTTCGAAGAGTGGGATGAACGGTGGATGAGAAAAAAGGAGAGAAGAAGAGTTACGTAAGAGATTGTTCACCGAAGTAAACATATTGCTTGCTGGAGGAAACAGATCGCTCGTGGTGGTCGATATTTGCCAAATGAAAAGTCACATTTGTCATAGTTTTTGGCAGTGGACCGGTGTGGCGTACGATAGAGAAAGATTGGAGAGAGAGCGAGCAAGAGAGAAGGGGACTTGGGAAAAGAGATACGGAGGAATCAGATAGGAGGTGTGAGAGAGAGAGAAAGAGAAATAGGGAAGGAGATCAAGGACATATATGAAAGAGGGGAAATTGCGTATGAAATTTTTATGAAATTGTGGAGTTTAGAGTGAGAGAAATACGAGACTTGTAGACTATGGATCAGGCAAATTAAAATTCATTTGGAAATTAAATTCGTTTGGACTGGAAATTAAATTTTGATGAGCTAATTTTATCCGTTGGATTAACTACATATATTTATCGGTCAATCTGAGACGTTCAAACGATTTTATAAGTTAAGGGATTCAAAATCCCTTGTACTTTATTATATAGATTAGCCAAAATGAAATGCCAATACCAATGTAAGAGATCATTCAACTTGTGCTCTAGAGATAAAAGAGCATAAACCAAGTCAATGTAAGTTCTAATTTCAAGTAGAACATGTCCATCAAGAGAAGACCTCTTGCTTATTTATCTCCACAATGGTGTGTTATGTGTCGGTGCGATTTTAAGACTATGGACTACTTTTTACATCGCCCTATTACATTATCATTGTGGAACAAATTGTTTAGTTTGGCAGGAATGAGTTGTGGACTTTAGCTGTTTTGGAAGAAATAAGAAAAAGGTTACTCGTTGGGATTGTGTTGTCCTTGCCACAATTTGGACTATTTGGTTGAAAAAAAACGCAAGAATCGTTAAAGACAAGTGCAAAGCAGTGGATGGATTATGGTAACGAATGTATTTTTTGACATCTTGTTAGGCTTCGGTTTCAAAGTATTTTGAAGGCATTCCCATTTTTTGCATAATGGCAGGGTGGAGAGCTTCTTGAGATTTGTAGTGCAGACTACATTTTTGCCTTAAGCACACTTTGCACTGTTGGATTACTGTTACTGCCATTGTTGTTTTTGTTGTTTTATCTTTTATCTTTTGCCTGATTTAGGATTGGACAACTTGTCCAACTTTCTTTTCTCTTGTGTACTTCATTGATATTAATATAACTGTTTCATTTCATATCAAAAAAAAAATGTAGAACATATCCCTGACAAGGGTAAGAAAGCATCAGACAGACTTAATAAAAGGATATATTACAGGTAAGAAGTAGAACTGATAGAAGATTGAATAGAATTCCTCAACTTCCACCGAAGAAACAGATAGAAGACATTGTCACTGTGGTAGCTTCAACCAGTAGGCCAAGTACCATGTTCTAGTATTTTCTTCTTAATACTCCATATCAAGGAAATCATAGTTAAAACAAAAGATTGACATGGTCTTCAATCTTCCAGAATGCTTCCGAATTAAATGTCTAGATTAATGCATTTAAACAAAATTCCCCTAATAGTAATAGGAAAAGGAATACCTTTAGAAAATAAGGTTACTAAATCTTCCAAGTCTAACAAGAATGAAAACTGCAGCTGTTCACACTTTTGGAAAGAAATCCTGTTCACACTTTAGTAAGAGGGAATCATTATAGATTGTCTGATTCTAACACATGCTTCAAACTAGCTTAATCATACAATTTCATAGCATCAATCACCTTTAATCAAGATATGCCAAACAGAAATTGATCCCTGATTCATGGATATAGGGCAACAAGAGACATTGACCACTGTGTCACTCATCTGTTTGGTACATAGGAGAAGTTCTTTGATTTTTTTTCATTGTAACTATATTTGAAAAAATATAAAATATACGTTATGATATTCAAAAATATTAAATATGCGTTAATACAGACCTTCAAGATGAACTTTCTAGTAATTGAACAATGTATGTGGCTGATATGGATCATGTGAACAATGTATTAAGGTCTCATAGTATATTATTGGAGTTCTATGAAACACGGATACTTTGTTGACGTCGACATGCTTTTATCGGATACGATCCTCGTCGGATACTCGATGATACATATGAAATACTCTTATATATCCGATAATAATAAAATATTTGAATACTTAGCGGATACTTTTGTTTTAAAGCAATATGCATAATTTTTGAATTTAACCTTTAACATCAACAAAAAATATACTACTTTGAAGACACGAGTTTTTTTAGTATTATCTACTATTACATGTCAAAAGAGTCTAAAATGAATCTATTACATTATAATATTAGCAACAAATACTTTTAAACAAAGCAAGTAAATATTATTTTTTATTCCTTTAATTAATCACTTAATTTTGTGAATATACCATAACGATACAATATATATTCTTTAAAACTAAAAAAAAATTGCTAATTTTTCTTATTATGTTAAAGAATTAGCAAAATATATAGAAAATAGTAAATATATGAAATATATTTTATTATAGACGAATCCTGCCATATCCATGTTTTAATTTTTTAGATTTTGTCATATCCTTATCATATCGTATCCATATCCGTAGTCATTCTTCAAAGTTGGGATTAGAGTCGAATTTCTTTAAAAAGTGACTGATTAGACTTATAAAGATAGGGCTCTTAGGGCATAAAAATCAAGTTATGAACTGCCTAGATGGTTGCAAGTGAAGAAAATCAAAGAATAACCTACACATCACACCTAGGAAGTCCTTCAATTCCTATCCAACCACCCAAAAAGGAGACTTTGTTTATGACGAAATTGAAAACTGAAGACCATTTGTGTAATCTAACCATATTGACATCATATAACTTGCAAATATCAGTCTTAACATATTTCTTCGACTATCTCAGGATTTTTGCAGAAGAACAAAAACTTGTTTGCCTAAAAAGGATACAAATTAACATTCCTCGTCCATTTTTTGGACAGCGTTCTGAACTTGCTTCCAAGGGACAAAAAAACTCTCTCTTATACATACTACGGCAAGACTCCACTTCCTTTCATCGTTGCAAGACAGAATCGTTCCATCTTGGGTTATGTTAACTTCTTTTTGTGATACCTGATGCCTAAGAAGAGCACTTTTGAAAGACGTATATTTCTCTGTTTTCCCTTATTTTCCACTTTTCAACTGCAAAAAAACTTATCTTGTTGCTTACTCTGCTAAAGAATGCAAAAATCTATGCCAATTGAATCCATCTATCTCCATTAGATCCTTGCAAAACAATGATTTAAAATTGCTTCCTGAACTGAAGATTTTTGTGAGAGAAATTTCCCACCCCTACTAGATGCGAGCTCTAGCATGAGGCAATAGGAATTGCCTCTAAACTTCCTGAAGAAACCTCATATCTATTCCTAGCAGCCTCATGGATATTCCTAAGCAACCATTCAACATCGCCCAAATCCACACCAATAGAAAAGCTTGCATATCGGCTCCTTTCTATAATCCTAATATAACTTTCCCTCTAAACTTCTATGACAAACAGCTTCTTTTCTATTTTGATTTCATAATAAGACTCGGAGTGAATCGTCATTCCCCCCAGGTCTTAATACACTTTTAACTCTTCGTATATCTCATCCACACTCCTTTTCCAATGCCACCCAAAAAGAAAAGATCGACATGTGTTTGTTATTATTGTTTCAATATTAAGTGTTCAAGACCTCTTTTGTTTGCTTGTCAAATGCAGATAGCATGGTTATGCTGATGGGATGTAGCCTTTGCGAGGTTAAGGATTTTGAACATAAATGTGGATGAAACAAACAATGGAATCGGAAATGATTTAACCCTCATCTTTTTCTTTCATTCAATCCCATGGGTGTTTCCTCTTTCTTGTCTCTTTACTACTAAATCATTATTTCATATTTTCATACCATAGCATCCTTGAATGGCAAGTAGGTTGGTTTCCAGCTTGGCCACTAATTAATTCAAATCACCCCACAATTTAATATAAATCAAAGAAAACTACACACAACCTACAACTGGAAAGTGATTTTTCATTTTATTTAAAAAGACAAGACAATTATGAATGTTCAGAAGGCCACAAACAAAGTACACTTGCAGAAACGTGAACAAGATTCTAAATGGAGAGCTAAAAAACCCAACTCTCTGAATTCCTTTGCAACAAATTCAATGGACAGATGACAGCAATAATATATATATTGGGTTAGCAGTACCTTTCTAATCCACTAAGGTACTTCTCATAGATAGTGAGCTGAAGGCGACCACCAGTTGATGCTGTAAGCACCTCAAAAAGATTATCACTGATAATCACATTAGCGATTATGGGAACTGCAGGAGCAATTCGAGAAAAAGCCTCCAACCCAACAGTAACATCCTCATCCGTCTGTGTAAAAAAATCCACGGGTCAGACATTTCCAGACCCATTCCAAAAAGCACAACACTAGTACCAACAAGTTCTTAAATGAGAAGAAGGGCTTCCTAAAAAAGAACTAAAACAAGAAAAAGGCCTCAAAGTTGCAACGTTTCGCGAAATTTTGGTAAAGAAGACATGACATATGCTTTTACATATAGAAAATGACAATAAATATCCAGTCTGATATCAAGGTATTGTTAAAGTATGTAATCCAGGCGCATAAGTAGTGCTATGACAAAACAAATAAACTATACATTAAGAAATGGTTGGCTGACAGCAGATGGAAACTCCCAAGCAATCATCATGTCAAATGTTAGGCGCCGAAACTTTTTGTCCTCCAGATAACCTGTTACTTGTGTAGACTCAGAGAGAGCCCTGAAACAACAGTATTCCAAAAAATTCCGTGCATAATGCGATGGATGCTTTATAGAATCCGAAGCTTCCTCGTTGAAGTTTTCTTGAAGTTGACTTGTAGAAATGCCTAGAATTCTGCATCATTTGTGTTTCGTATTCCATATTAGAGACTAGCAAGTATAGATGATTACAATATTTGGTGTGGATAAGCAAAAGTAGTGGCTTGAAGAAACTAGTGTGGCTAAGGCTGGAATTAAGGTCCCAATTAAATGGAGTCCGTGTGCACGTAGAAATAAATAGAACAAAATGGAGATCAAAATAAGTGTGTCATGGAGCACTTACTTTGAGCACCTACGGACTATTATATTTGCTATGGGAGAGAGCTCTGGCAACCAGTTCTTTCCAGCTGTTGGGGATTTTCCCATCTCCTCAAACTCTTCAGCCAACGAACTCCGATTCTTAATCAACCATTTAAATGACCCTTCTCTTACCAGACCTTCAAGCATATTTTTGGTTTTGCTCACCATAGCCATCCCAAAATTTTCCGCCTTCTAGACCATCAATTTGTAACAAACTGCCCTATTTAATCACCTGTGAAAACCTTGCACTTTGAAATGAATACATCCAAACTTATCAGTTCAACACAAACCCTACCACCAAGATTAAATAAACATCTTTTATTCAATAACCAAAATTAAATTTTTCTAGCTCTAGTATTACTCACACCACCACCCCATGAATCCCAAAATAAAATATTTGCCAAGTACCTCCTCTCAAAACCCAAGTAGAAACTCTGCCAATATCCATAACTTAGTATTAAGATTCCAAAGGCCAATGACACTACTAACAAACACAATTTCAACTACTCGTAAGCCTTTCACAGATGACTTGCCAACAACCTACCCACTAATAGCTGTCCAATGACCAAGACTTAAATTGAAATAGAATGTACTATTTTTCCCTACTAAAAACTATTTCTGCGACTTCCGTTAAACCCCTCACAGCTTATTCATTACATACCATTTCATTCAAAACCCAAGAACCGAATTTTCGAACGATATATAACTGAGCTCAACCCAACAAATTTACCTGAAAACGCATGATCAGATCCAAATTTGAATTTAACGCACGAAATTTTCTCCAATCCTGCAACAAGTCACGAACTCAACCTGAGATTAGAAGCGTTGAACCGTTATCGACAAACCCATTTCGCCAAATGCACGAGGTTCATAAGCAAACAAGGCAAGGAGAAAAAACAAGATGACTCTCTCTCTCTCTCTCTCTCTCTCTCTCTCTCTCTCAGCTGCTTCTTAAGATAGGAAAGTTGAATAGATTCTGTCGTGATCTGGGGTTTTCCGATAACGAGCTGTTTGGTATAAGTTTAACACGAGAGAGAGAGATGAGCGAGAAACGTGTGACGCGCCACTTACCGAAAAAAAGAAATGCGAACGCGCCGAAGGAACTTTCGACATCTCTCGGTATTTTCGATCAGTTTGGTGGATGTATCATCCATGTTCCTGCTGAGTACCTGTACATGTACTTCCTACCCATAAAACATAATAATTTATTTGGTCAAAATTGACGGCTGCTAGTTCAAATAATTTAAGGTAAATTGTATTGACATCCCCTATATTTAGGCTATATTTCACTGATGCCCCCTTTAAGCTTTAAAATATCCCTACACACCCCTGAAGTTTATGTATATGTTACAGAAACTACCCTTACCACCTATTCCATTCCTAACAAGCAAAAAAGCTTCTGATGCGATGGCTAATTTTCTTATGAGTTACCTATTTTATCCCCAGTTCTATATATAAATACCAATATTAAATCAATATGATTTCATTTTATTCTCTTCCTATTTAAAATAGTTGGCCTTTCTTATGGTTCTAATTTCCACCTACAACAGAAGAGTTGGTTTAGAAGACCAACAAAAGTTTAATGTTAATTTGATGAAATTGAATGTAATTTAGTATTAATTTGATGAAATAAAATATTAATGTGGTGTTAATTTGATAAAATTAAATATTAATGAAATAAAATAAATTGTTGATTTGGTTATACTAAATATTAATGTAATAAAATTGAATATCAAATTTATAAAATTAAAGGTTATTTTGGTGTTGATTCGATGAAATTGAATTTTAATTTAGTGATAAATTAATAAAATAATTTTAATTTAATAAAATTAAATATTAAAGTGATGAAATTGAATGTTGATGAAATTAAATTTTGGTATTAATTTGATAAAATTAAATTTTAAATTAATAAAATTAAATACTAATACTATGTTAATTTTAGAAAAAAAAAAGTGAATAATAATTGGATAACATTGAATGTTGATTTGATAAAATTAAAGGTTAATTAAGATTGATTTGACAAAATTGAATGTTAATATGATGTTAAACTAATAAAATAATAATAATTTTAATAAAATTAATATTAAATTATTAAAATACATGTTAATTTTGATGAAATTAAATTTTAAAATTTTAAAATCAATTATTATTTTAATGTTTAGTGGATAAAATTGAAGGTTAATTACATAAAATTGAATATTATTGTGATGAAATTGAATTTTTGTGTGATAAAATTAAAAGTTAATTTAGTGTGTTATTGATGAAATTAAATATTAATTTGATATTAATTTAATAAAGTGATATTAATTTGATAAATTTAAATTTTAAATTAATAAAATTTAATATTAAATGACTAAAATTAAATATTAATTTGGTTTTAATTTTGAAAATATACTTTTAAATTGATAAAATTGAATAATGACTTGGTGCTTATTTGATTAAATTTAATGGTAATTGAATGAACTTTAATGTTAAATTGATGAGATGGAAAATTAATTTTATGAAATATAATGTTTATTTGATAAAATTTATCGTCAATTTCATGTTATTAATGAAATAGAATATCAAATTGATATTAATTTGGTGAAATTAAAGGTTGATTTGAGGTACTTACCAAAAAATAAAGGTTGATTTGAGGAAAATTGAATATTTATTTCGTGAAATTGGAGGTCAATTTTGTGTTTTTTTTGATAAAATAGAATATAATTGTTTTTTGTCATATCAAATTGAATGCCAATTGGGGCTGATGCAGTGTTAATTTTATGAAGTTGCATGTTAATTTGATAGAATTTTATGTTAATTTTAGGAATTTGATGGTCACTTTTTGTATTAATTTGATAAAATTAAATATTAATTTGATTAAATAATATAAAATCATGTTTTGTGTTACCACCGACAAAAATTGATAGGGGATGGACAGGGATATTTTAGAAACTAGAAGAAATATCAACGAAGCATGACCTAAATCTAGGGGGTGTGAGTGAAATTTACCCAATAATTTATTTTAAGATAAATTTCACGGACATCTTCTAAATTTAAGTCATATTTCGCTGACACCCCTATGGTTTTAACATATCACTACGTACCCTTATCAGTTTTTGTCGCTCAACAAACTTAAAAGATAACATGATTTTACATAATTACCCTTACTAAAACTCTCATTTTACATGGTTGTTATTTGAATTTATCCTTATATATTTATTTCTTTTTAAGTCTTATCTCATGTTATGGCCTAACCTAACCATGGTCATAATTTTTTATTGGAGGAGTTTAAATGTCAATTTCACATTACAATTGTTAACATATAATTTTTGTTGCGAATGGGGTTCTACGAGGGGACCTCATTAAAAGTCCCAACAATTATTAACATAATCACATCAAATTAATATAAAAAATAATAAATAATTTCATCAAATTAATATCAAATTGACCTTTAATTTTGCTTGTTTAATGTTCAATTTTATTCAATTAATATTTAATTTTATCAAATTAACACCAAATTAAATCTAAGGGGCGTCAATGATATTTTAAAAACTAGAAAAGGTGTTAGTGAAATATGACTTAAATCCAAGAGGTATTAATAAAATTTACCCTTTATTTTAGAGTGAGGCTATTTCCACCCTTAAATGTCTTTTTTCACCCTATTTTAAATTATTTATTTCAAACTATTAAATTTATCTCAATAATACTAAGTTCACTGCATTTATTCATAAACTATTAACTAAAAATCAAACCATTAATTTAAAATTCTTAATATTCATCTGCAGACAAACATAATATTACTGTTTGATTTATTTTCAAATTGCGCGCGTGCCAAAGTCTGATTGGACTTAATATATAAATATGTACGACCATACCTATTCGAACGGGTGTAAAGTTCTAAAATCGTAACTGTTCAGACGATTGTTGCAAAACATAAGGTCACCTTTGAGATCTTTTCTATAACTTTGAGATCAAGTACGTTAAATAATTTTCCAATTAATAACGTAAATAGACTAAAACGTTGAAAGAAATATGGAATGTAAAACAATAGATAAACTAAGTTCAAATGGTGAAAAAAGTATTGTACTTAATATTAAATGAAAGTGGTAAAAATCACAAGAGTAATGGATTATAGAAAAAATGAAAGTTGTTTGAAAGTGAAAATAAGTAAGCATGAGAGAGGTTGACTCTATGTAAAATTTGTTATGTTTGATTGTGGATCCTTTTTTTGTAGTCTTACCCTTGTTATTTATAGGGATGACCCTTTAATCATCAAAGCCATTATTTCTAGCCATGACTATAATTATGACATTTCCCCCTCCAGAAATGCAAATGTGCATTAAATTGTCTCCAACTGACGGCTCATGATGTCAAGTCTCTCCACTTCTCAGAATTCTTAGAGTCACACTTCCTTAACCACTCTATCAAGTATGGATTCTCAGATACTTTCATGACTATTGGATTGCTTCCATGTATCACCCTCAGATTTCATTACTTTTGGTTGTAAACAATTGCACAATGAAAATGTTCATAATAAGTATCAATCAACAATCTATTTAGTTTTAAAAAACTTTCAAGATTAACCTAATTTTAGTCTTCTATTTGTCCCCATGGGTGTGTTTGTGTTCACCAAATAGTTGGGAATTAATGGGTTGGATTGGGTAAAAATAACTTGGGGGCTTTGGTTAAAAATAAAATAGTGGAGATAAAAGTAACAATTGAATTTCCTCGGTAGTAGTGAAACTTAAAGCCTTTTGATTTGAAATGTTTTAACTCATGGGTGATGTGGGATAAATGGGTGGGTTTTAGACCGGGAATGGTTCAAAATTATCATATTGCCTACAAAAAGTATATTTCAATTGCTTTTAGCCAACTTTTTTTTGGGTAAAATATTACCAAAAGCTGCTAACAATTAATGCATCAATGGTTCCAATTAATGGAGCTAAAATATTATATCCCCATAAGATACACATGAGGTTTTGGCTACCCAAAAATACATAACTGGTCCACTGGAGCAGATTAAATGAAAAATTACTATCCTATCCCATCCAACATTTCTTGCAAACACGTCATGGGTGTGTTTGGTTTGATGGATATAGGGGGATAACACAATTTGGATTGGTTAAAATTATCCAGGACCCACAAAACTCAGCTTTAGATCCCCAACATTGAATGGGATAATCGTTGGGCTCAAAAAATCGGCTTGTATGATTTTAGCCCACTTATCCCCTTTGAACCGGTTCCAGATATTCCACCTAAACTTTGGGATATCTAAGCCCATCAATAGAATTGACAGTGTAATTACATAAACGCCCTTCTATAGTAACCACTTAAGGGTTTTACCCCCTTTTGTCTCCATTTCTCCCTGATCCCCTCTTGTTGCTATCGGCACCCATTAGTCCCCCCTCACAAGGCCGAAGGTAATCCCCCCCTCTTTCTCTCTCTCAAAAGTGGAATTTTGTCTCTATTCTTTTGGATCCGAGTCTCTGTCCTGGGTTCTTCGATATCTTGGTTGAGCTGGACTTGTGGAAGAAGCAGTAGGGCTCATCAAAATTTTGTCAATTGAAACAGTTGCCAATATATGGGGTTCTCTCCTTGGGGCGTGTCAATTACACAGGAATATAGATTTAGGTTGTTGGGCAGTTGAGCATCTATTTAAGCTAAAGCCAGAAAACTTTGGGTATTACACACTTCTTTCAAACAGGAATGCAGAAGTAGGGAGGTGGGATGAGGCAAACAAGATTAGAAATTCATGAAGTTAAAGGGAGTGCAGAAGAATCCAGGGTGTAGTTGGGTTCAAATTGATGATTAGGTTCAGGTGCATGCTTTTGTTGTTGGAGGCCATTGATTCGATGTCCATGGCTTGATGAACTTGTTTAAGTTATATTTTTTTGCCAAAATTTGGGCTTTTCCATCAAGAGGCAACTAAGGAAGGCAAATTAAACATGGCATGAATAACA